CTCACTGATTTCCAATATTTCAATCTCTCATCTGTGCTTCTACTACTTCCGGTGCGCTTATTAAGTAGCAATATTTAATAAACTTTCACTGGGACCGTCGAAGATTTGTATGGAACACAGAGTTTTTTTTCTCTTCGCGGGCTCCTTTAGCCATCTTTTTAGCCACGTAAATTGTTTCCTCATTAACAAAAAGTAGTTTTAAAGATTTTATTTTCTGTTAGTATAAATAACATTAATTTTATAAGGATAGGAACCACTACAGCCTCTAAGTTTACTTCGGGCCCAGAGAAAAATTCTTCAGCGCATCTCCCTCTCGACGGTCCTGTCTCTTACCTCGCTCATTTTCTACTTTGTAACTTTTTTCTTAATTTAGTACAAAACATACTTTTATTTCTCGTCTTTATACGAAAAGAAATTGGAGATTATTTCTATATTTTCTTTTTAACTGGATCCCTATTTATTTTCCTTCTACCACATCAGATAATGGATTTTAATCAAATTCAAACACATTTTTAAGTTTGAACGAGCAATTAAGGTAAACGCACCGGTAGCGGACACTGTGTTAGTAGTGGACACTTTGAACTTCAAATATGAGTAATAAGGTTGTTGATGGCTTCACTGTTCAAACATACAAATCATTCAGTAGACAGAACCCTCTAGTAGTGGTAACTCGCACTGATCCTTTTCTAGTCCATCATGGGATGTTTTCCCGCGCTCATTAGTGATGGCATTCCTGCTGATATAAGAAGACAAGTGAGTCTGCTGTCTGTTTCCTTAAGGTCTAGGTAATTTAAATCACGCTTGCTGTATTAACAGTTAGTTTCACGGAAGTTTTTTGGTGATATACTATTAATATGAGCTTCGTTGGTATGTTTTAAGACCTTCCTGATAGTATTTTTATTTTCCAAGTCAATTGAATGAGATGTCCACTAATGAAACAAAAATATTGTATATTTTTAGTAGTGGACAAGAGGTGGCCACAACTAGTGAAAATGAACTTTTCACTTTTAATCAGTATCAAGTCAAAAATTAAATCACCTAATGTTAAGTAACATACAGTATTGATTCAAGCATTTTTTGGTTACTCTGTCTAGTCATGGACAGGGGGTGTTCACTATTAAACCGTGAATGTCCGTTTATTGAAATGAGGTGTTTCAATAGTGGACAAAACATGGTTTGGTGCCATGGGATCCTACAGCACCCGGTATGCTAAGTAGGAAAATAATGTGCAAGAAGAAGTCAGACAGTACTCTCACGAAAAGTGATGTAAGAGTTGGTTTTGAAACATTAAAAATATACATGGGACCTGAGAAAGTGGGGTTATTTGAGACTGTAGTTTCTTTTGAAGATGTTGAGGCTACAGACAAGTCCCTGTTCAATTTATGGCACCAGATGAAGACAGACATCATGAATCAAGTAACAGCTGGAAACAACAGCAAATCCTTCAACAATAATGAATCAGAACATGAAGATTCGACGGTTGAAACTTCAAATCAATCGCAGCCATGAGATAAATGATGTCAGTAACACCAGTGCATTTAGTGATTCATATATTCATGATATTCATAATGACTACCACTATCAAAATGAAAGACCTAGTACTTCAAACACTGGCAATACCATTGTTGCCACAAGTACACACAATAGCCGCAATAACAGTCAGATCTCTGAAACAGTACCTAGTCCTTTCAAAAGGTCACTTCTCTGGTCAGAACCCAGGGAAATCACTAACAAAAGGAAGAAAAAGGAAATCATACCTTCTGTAGTTACGTCAAAAGCTTGGCAGGAATATTATGAAAATAAGGAAAAGAAGAAAATAGTGGAACTAGAACTGAAAAGGGAGAGAGCTTTGGCAAGACAGAGAAAGAAAGAACAACAGACTGCTGAGAATAAAAGGAAAGCTGAAGAGAAAGCTATGAAAATGAAAATGAAGACTACAAAGCAACGAAAGAAGAAAATGAGAAAGGAAGAGACATCATCAGAAGATGAAGGTTCTTGGATTCCCTCGGATGGTGGTAGTACAAACGATGTTACGTTAGATGTAGAAGACACTATGGAAGATGAAGAAGAAGAAGACGACATTATGCAGTTTCAGGAAAATATTGAACCCCCTTCAAACGAAACTATTGGACCAAGTTCAGCAATTAAGGAATCGAAAGATACAGAAGAAAGGGGAGAAAGTATTGAAGGGACTTTAAATTGGACTCGGAGGAAGGATATGTCCGAAAGACACAGTCGGAATACCATTGAAAAGGAAAGGGAATCAAACATCCTGCATGAGAATGATTTTGTAGTTGCCACCTTGTCTGGTAAGAAAAGAAAGTACAAATGTGTGTGCAAAATTACCAGTTTAATCAGTGATAATATCGCAGAAGTGATTGTGTTTAATTCCATAAATAGGATGAAAAGCGTATTTGCTAAAAATGAAAAAGATGTACAAACGATAAATATTTCTCAAATTGACTTGAGGCTTCCTAAGCCTCTAATTTTTGGAAGAGAGAGTCACTGTCAATTCTCGAAAGGCATTGACATAGATAAGTAGTTCAACACAAATTAACAATGCAACAATATTTCCTTAAACTATGCTGACGTTAATATTTGAGTTCTCCTAAATGTAACTTAGAACCCAGTTTTATACTATTATTTTTAAGTGTTTAATATTGAGTGTAACAATAATCCATTCCAGTATGTTAAAACTGATCTCATTTATTTCAACATTTGTATTCGTTAAGAATAATGTAACAATAACAAAATAAGAAAGTTTCTTATACTAACTTTGTAATGTTTTATATTTATGTTTCATAATACTTATTAGTTCAATTTTCATATAAACATTACAAACTATACACATGTAATTTACATTTGTACAATTTGATATTTTAATTAATTTAATTAAATTATGAGTTGTCATTATAATTAACAGTGTTCTTGTTCTTTATAGTAAAGACTGTCAAATTCTGCAAGTTGTGAAAAATAAAAACGATTTCATCTTGAATATAATCATCTCTATATTCCTTGTCCACTACTGGTACAAATGCCTGTCCATTACTAAATATCTCAATTTTTTCAATGTCCACTACTGAAACATTTTCAACCTTACAAAATAAATTAAATTAAAATGTATTCGACGAGATTGACATAATTAAAATCCTTACAGTGAGTGAAGAAAGATTTTGTCTAACAGACAATATAACTTTTAAGCCATAAGGCTTCTAAATAGGGGTCCAGTTTCAAAAAAGTCGAAAAATTTTCCTTAAAGTGTCCACTACCGGTGCGTTTACCTTATTTACTGTGACATCGTCACAATGTCGGCCTGCAATTTTTAATCATATTGTTTAAAATTTAATTAATTTAAAATATATGCTTTCCACCTCAAATTAGTGTCTTGTCCCTGGACATCACACTTTTCCTGTTATCAAGCCCCCTTACCTCATATTTTTTCTGTTAGCAATAGAGTCGAGCCGGCCCCGGTGATCCATCTGACACCGTTCAGAGAAGTTTTGAATTAAAATTACGCGACTTCCAGTTTACCTCGGAAGTTTCTATATAGTTAATCGGGGCCTCCTGTTCCTAAGGTTTCCATATCTGCACTTGACTTTCATATATATAACTGCATTCTCGAGATTAAGGAAAGACAGACAGACAGATGGACGACAGTGGGAATTTATAGGTCTACAATTTTTTTAAATTGCAGGTTTAGGCCTACATCCAAAAATATTTAGGACATTAACAAATGAACTATCGAATTCTTCCTCTAAACATTGTGTGTTTCTATCAATGTAGCCAATGATAAATCTAGAATGCATTTATTTCTAGTATCTAGAATTACAGTATTCTAGATTTCTACGAAGTTTATAGGAATTAGATCAATTAATTACAGCGTGAATGATATTTAAATTTGAAAAATAAACAATTTTGGCACTAGATATCATATTTACTTTTATTTGGATCTAATAATGAGTACATTCTATATGAGAAGCCTGTAAAACACAGTAACTTATAAGTAAATAAGAGCTCGATTAACTTTCTAAAGGTAGATGTATTCATTTTCGAATTTAAAAATTCGACTAACAATAATGAGGCCTTAAAACAAATGTTTTGTCGGATTATATGGTAATACGCATCGCTGACTCAAATAACTTCTTTCAGGATTTCCTTTATTGACTCAATGTCGATGTATAGTGTGTTGAACTCTCTATTCTTTTATTATTTTTCGTGCAATTTTTTTAAAACATTAAAGCTGTTACTGCATATTAATCCAAATTCATGTATTTAACATTCATTTTTAGAAGAAACAGGTGAAAATTCCAAGAAATAATTAAATTTATTTCTCCTAAAAACAAAAATTTCTACAAAAATTGGAATGATATATTCGGTAGGAAGTTCTTCTTCTTCTTCTTTTTTTTTTTTTAAGAAACAGGGTATTAAAATCTGGTGAATTTTTAAAAATATTNTTGTCCCAAGAATGGCTTTGCCACTTTACTTGTTTTTTGTTATATTTAGAAAGGTCTTGCTAACATAACTCATAACATGCCTGTGCTGTTTGCAGTTCTGGATTCAAATCTTGTTCCTGATCGATATTTTCTAAATAAATAAATAATTTCTATATTCGGTAGGAAGTTCTTCTTCTTCTTCTTTTTTTTTTTTTAAGAAACAGGGTATTAAAATCTGGTGAATTTTTAAAAATATTTTACGTCAATAAATAAAAAAACTGGAAGGAATTTTTAAAAAAGAATTTCTCATCTAATTTTACAGGTTATCTGAAAAGAAGCAGATACCTCCTCGTATTTTTAATCCCTTCATCTTAAATACCCTTACATTTCATCTAATCAAACTGGATCCAATAGGTCATAACTCATTTCGGAAGCTTAAGATAAGTGGAAAATACATTATTCTCGTCTAACTTCTAAGAATTTTCTGGATAAAATGTAGAGACATTTCTTCTTTCTCTGCGCACCTGCCTTCTTTGCAGACGCGTCCTCGTCCAGTCGTGACGTCACGACAGTCACGGCATGCATCCTGGGTATGCCGGTGACGTCATCAGGCGTTGGTTATTAGAACAAAGAAAGATGGCGGACGACTGAGGTTAGGAATGTAAGCTGTCATCGGTTGTGGTCGCTACTGCTGAAAAACGGAAGCAATCGTATTTAAATAGTATACATTCGGAATCGATGTATGCATTGCATCATGCAATATCAATGCAATTATTGTCAAGAGAATATAGAAGACGTACGAGTTAAGTGTTCGGAATGTAAAGACTTCGATCTGTGTTTACGGGTAAGTAGGAAGTCATTTTGTGATACAGCTTGCTGCAAACGTTAGACGCGCTCGCCATAATTACTTCGTTAGGTTTATAAAAATTTTACCCCACCAAATTGGTCGGTAAACTGCGTGTGTAGACACCACATTTGACAATGTGAACCTGCTTCGTTCCAATTTACTAAACTCCCGTTACGATTGCTGTGATAGGTTATTCTACTAGACACGGTAATTTTCCGACCAATGACGACGCTCGATACAAAGTTGGAGTGAAAACATGTTTAGTATGCAGGAAATTGTAATACGAATTTAGAAAATATTGAAGTTTTAACGATAAATGTTTTGTGAAGCTTTAAGTTAATTTTAAGTGCAGAAATAATTTTATAAAATTATTTACTCGAATCATAATCATTTTTTTGCATAAGCTTCGTCTAATACGACGAAATTTACTATGGAGGAGTGTCTATGGGTTTTACTATCGCTGGCATGGAGTTACACGTTAATTATTTAAATTTATTATTTTTATGAGATAATTTTAATAACATTTTAATTACACGTGAAACGAGTGGTGTAATTATAATGTAAATGTCATTCACATTTTTATTTATTTATTATTTTCATGTATTTGCCATCTTCACCAAATAGGGAATTTCTTACGTGAATTCATTCATTCATTGGTTATTTGATAACAGTGATGAATGAAATGTATCTTAATACACAACTTGCAGTAATTTGTGAAATATGACACCGAATTACGTTTAATGAATAGTCAATGAAATGTCAATAAATTTTTATTAATAAAATGAATTTTTTTAGAAAATAAATTACTTATTAAAGTTATGAAATCAATTATTATTCTAGGAAAAAAATAAATAAATATATATACTATTAAAGAGTATTTTTTAAATTAGGCAAAGGAAATGTATTTGAGATTTAACATAATTATACAGACAAGTTTTTTTCTTTAAAAGATGCAAAATTCTACTTGAAAATAATCCAAAATAAAAATGACTAAAATCAATAGCATTATGCAGTTTTAGATACTAGTCAAATGCTTGTTCCATTAGATTATGGAATTACGTTATCAGGTGAAAGTTTTAAACCGTCTTTAGGTGTGGAAACAATATTATAAAATTTATTTGAGTCGTAATATTTTAATGAGATTTGTGATCTAAAAATGTTACGTTTGTAGACTACTAGAAGTCTGTTTCATTTGGATATAGCAAGCGTCTGGGAATATAATTATAGTATATTTATAAACATTAATTTCTTAATATTTATAAATTCTTAATCAAATAGAATTTTGCAGAAAATACTGCATTATTGATTTATTACAAAGGTTTGAATGTAAGTGTTGTTAGATGTTTCTAAATATATTAATAGTCTGTTTCAAAATGTAATTTAAAAATTTTTTTTAGGTGTAAAATGTTTGTTGTACTTTTTAACTTATGTTTTTAATTTCGTTAAATAATGATCTTTCAGTTTTGGTTTCAAATATGAATTTACTAACTTGTCAGTTTTGTAATAAGTACCAGAATAGTTTCAGATTTGATTTTGGAATGTAAAATACTTTGGCTATGAAAAATATAGGTCACATATATCATTAATCCTTTAATGAAGAGATGATCCTGGAAAGTACAAATGCTCATTGAAAAATCATTGTTATGATCTTTTTATTGAATATTTCAATATGAAAAATAGGTCAAGTCAGTTATACCTATCACTCACATTAAAAACTATATTTATTTGTAAATAGCTTCATTAGCATATGAAATTTTGGTTAATATAATTTACTTTTAATTTCATTCTTGCTATTTTTGTTTTTAATTTATACTCATTAGTCACACATTCCTAGCATACTAAGTTAAATAAGAATTTTGGAAATAAAAGAAATTCTTAATTGATTATTGCTGTTGCAGAATCATAACTAATTGCATGTCTCTTAATATTTCAATAAGAATTTATGTAAGCAGGACTATTTTAAGCACTTTTGAGACCATAATCTAGTTTTTTTAGGACATTATACAGGTAGAGATATAAAGAACAGAAATATTAGTAATGAACAGTGAAATGAGGCAACTATGACAATGATGCTTTCTGCCATAGCCAGATATGTCTTGCATTAATGCAATTTTATATGTAAGGTATATCCAAGTTTCTACTTAAATAATATTTTATATTAATATATTTTATGTAAATCATATCTTTATTGTACAGTAATACCTCGACTTACACTATGCCGACTTACGCGAACCCAGAGTTACGTGATTTTCAAATCTCGTCGATTTGTCTTTTGTTTGAGTGCCACACAACTCTTGATTACTCACTCTCCCCCTCACTATTGTTCAGCTTACATGTTCGGACGTGTCACGCAGAATCGACACAGTTAAAATTTATTTTGTGTTATTTATTTCTGTGTTTATTATATCTACTGAGACTTGAGAGAGACTATGTGGTGATTTCTTGTAACCATAAATTAATTAAAAGACGAGATAAGATTAACGAGAACATTTATTAGCTTACATACATACGACTTGGATTTTACACAAATTGCGAAATTATACCCCGACTTACACAAATTTGACTTACGCAGTTATTGCTCGGTCCCACCTATCGCATAAGTTTGGGGTATTACTGTATTTTAATATTCAGAAAGAAGCAAAAAGAATTTTTTATAACAGAAATTACACATACAAACATAAACATGTGAAGAAAAGAACTGTAATAATTACATTCAATAATAAACAAAAGTGACTAGTTGTTAAGTATATAGAGAATTGAAAAATCATATTTACTAGAATCTAAGATGCACCTTAATTTACACTTGCTCAACTATGGATTTTTGTTAATAGAAACTGTAGAAAAATTTGTGTTAACAGAATTGATATTTATTGCAAGTAAAGTAAATTATACATCACTGTATTCTGTAGTATCAAAATCAGAAACTTCATTTGTTATGTCTCTTCTGAATCAATATTAATGTTGTCTTAGTCATATTCCTGAGTATTAGCTAAAGTTTTAGTTTTAGAAAACAAACTATACTAATCAACACTGGATTTAGTGTTTGTCTTTCCTTGCCCCACTTATCACCTGACATATATTACTAACATGCCCTCAGTACAAAACAACCAAAGAACACTACCTTCAACAACAAATATCTTCAGACAACCAAGCTCTATGAAATATACTAGATGAGAATGGACAAATTCAACCTACAATGGCATATTTGAAGACAATAAATTTATATACAGAACTGTAGGACATACAACATAATAACTATGACATATTAAAAGACTTAAGGGCATACAACGACATAACTGACTGTACCTGGCACTTTTTGGCCTACCTAGGCCCTTGTGCCACAAAATCTCAAATTCAACCAAATCTATTATATCTTTCTACATACAATCATACTGTGCTTTTAAAGCATTTGAAAAAGCAGTGCTGAAACATTCCTTGAAAGAATTCTGCTCAACTTTTTTAGGATTTTTGTCTAAATATGTCACAGATTAACGAGATTGAGCTAAATTTACCTCTTAAATATTTGCCTTTATCAGTATTCATCTAATAAAATTATTAAAATGTGGTAATGAAATTACTGGCAGAGAAATAAGACACTTTGCATTAGAGGTTGCTAACTATGACATATTACATCAAATCCAAGACATACTATTTTCAGATATATTAAATTTAACTTGAAAAAAGTATATTGTATAGTACATTCAAGTAAATATGGTATATATCAATAGCATTAAAACTTTTTAAATTCTATTGCTTCTCTAATTATAATGTTTTTATTTTTAATATACAATCAAATAATTGTATAAGCTAAGATAATATCTATCATGATAAATTGGTTAGTAGACATTGTCTTTTTTCAAGTATAGATTTACCATCTATGTTATGTAATTTCTAATGGATGTCTGGATAAAGTTTGTACAAAATAGCTCAGGCTGTAGCTAATAGCCAATAATTTTTAATTATGTTGCATGTATTATAATTTGAAAATGCTTGGAATGCTGCAGACTATTCTAGAATCTTTTTCTGCATTCAATTTTCTGTTGTTTTCAAAATGGCAAAGATGTTTTATGCCTAATAGTGTACAACTTTTACACTTTTAAATTAAGATACATCTTTATTTATACTTGCTCAACTATGGATTTTTTTAATAGAAACTCAAGCCTTACATATGAAATAAAACATTAGGAAAAGAGCTTATTATAAACCATTTTGCAAATCAAGGAATTTCAAAACTGACTACATATTGCATTTGCCAACATTTTGAGTGTGGATTACTACCACAGAGAAGAAAGAGGTGTAGTAGAAAAGTGGAAATTCTAACAAAAGCCAACTTGAAGGATTGAAGAGTATCTTTGAAGACAGAGACAAAGGTTTTAATTTTATCTGTAGCCCTGAAACAAAAAATTTCTCATAGTTGATGCCATGAGGATTTGAAAACAAAAACACAAATATTGAAAGAAGCAGGTAATTCCAGACAGAATGGACATGCAAAGATTACTGGCAAAGATGAAGTGTTGAAGGTTATTGTAAAAGTTCTCTGAAAAGTTTAAATCTTACTTCACTCTCTTGCATTTGGTGATCAATTGCAATGGGGGATTTTATACAAGTGATATCTCCTCTATGCCTGCTATTGTAAAGTTTCCAAGAAAAAGAAATTGGAGAGTTTTGATTTGGATTGCAATCAGACCAAAAGGATTGAGTCAAACTCTAATCAGAAAATCAAGTTTTGCTGTCAATGCCTAGTGATATTTAAATGAATGTATATGATGTTGCCTGATTGATTACATTCAAAAGAACTATTCTTAAGTAGAATATTCAGTACTTTCTGGTCAGATCAAACAAGCTTCCACTATACCAAAACCATACTGGATTACCTGTGACAAGAAAACATTACCTTTGTTGAAATTGAAATAACCCTGTAAGCATGCCAGAAATTAGACCATTCAAGTATTGTTGGGCAATTCTCAGAGCAGCCATTTATGAAAAGGGGTGGAAGGCAAAAACATGGATTAGCTGATCAATTTCCTAAAGTACTGTCTGAAAAATATGAACCAGTCTTGCACAACACACTTGAAATTGAATTTGTGTGGTGCACATTCAATGACACATAGAATTACAAAAAATAAAAGATAACATAGCTTTTCATCATATTTCAAATGACTGTTTCATACTGCCAACCTTTAGCTGGGACGATGGTATGATTTTTGAATAAAAACACTGACAGCATAAAAAATAAAAAAATTCTTTATTAACATTGATATTGCACAAGACTTATATTAAATACCTTTAATAAACAAAATTGAATTTATCTCTGCATATGATATAAAGCTATTGCCATAAACACTGTCAAAAGTATGGCAAAAGCTTTATACTTTTTAATATCATAATTTTAAAAAAGTCAAGTATTTTACAGGACACATCATAAATCTATATGTAGCTTCATGATATATTCCATCTTGATTTGTCAGGGATCTTGATATTGTTGCATGATGAGTGTCTCCTGCTATATGCATTTGTGCTATGGTTTGCTTTATTGGGTGTTATAGTGTACTCATGACAGTTGCTATCAATTTATTGACACTCACTGCAATCATTAAGGGCAATGATTTTTCCGGTTGTGATTTATTTCCTATCTCTGTCTTACTTTTTCTTATCATACATAATATCTTTTTCATTTGCCATACTGCAATGCATGGGAAGCTCAGCAATGCTGTATGGCAAAATCATAATCAGCCTATTTTATAAAGATTATAAATTTTTTTAAAGTCTCACAAATCTCAAAGAATCATCTGGTTTCTTTTCTTGAGAAAGTTCATATCATATGGTCTGTATATTCTTAAGTGATGAATCAGATGTGTTTTTTTGGGGGGCTGAGAAACTGAAGTACTGCTCAATAATTTGGTCTAACTGTAAAAGTAACTTGTTTCTTCTACTGATGAGTCAACCATGATTGATTTAACTGCCAACACGATAATACTAATCTTTCCAGAATTGAAGATGCAATTTATCATATCTGCCATTTAAAATTGTCATATTTGACGTAAAATTCTCATACCTATACCAACATACATATACTGTATAAAAATATCAATTTTGATTCTTTCCCAATTGAATGAATCTGATCACATCATTCTGGTTCACTTCAGTCATTCATAATAAAATACATACATTATCGTCAGTATATACTATATATTGGTATTAGACTTATGAAATGAAGTGTTTTTGTGATAATGTGATAAATGAATGTGTTTTGTGTAAAACCACCTTGGAAATTTGACCTTATTACATTCCTAGAAGTACGATGAGTATAGGTAGGGGGTCACTTTTCTAGTGGATTTCCAAAGTGGTTTTATCAAAGTTTCTTGTTATCTTTGCTTCTGAAAGAGTAAAGACATCAAGGCACAGTACCATGAGAGAAACAAGGTACAGCAGACAGAATTTTCTGTGAGATGGAACAGGTCAAGTGGGAACCACTGATGGACATCTGAATAATACTGATGCCACCAATGTATATCAAATTGGGTCTGATGAGACAGTTTGTTGCTGTTCTAGATAAGGAGTCTGCATTCTTCAAGTACCTTCAAGACTTCTTCCTTACACTGTCTGTGGTAGAGGTCAATCTTTATGGATAGAAATAGTGGTTAACAGATAAAAAAAATTGTGGAGTGCAATGAATTTTCCAAGAATCTCACTATGATGGCAGGAGAATGCGCAAAACTGCTTTGTTGCAGTGGTCCAGGCTTCCTAGACAAGCAAAGGCTAAAACCTATGTGGAGCAGGCTGAGATTCTGTTATGGGGAAGCACTATGGCAAAATGGGCTTAAGAAGGTCCTTTGTTTTCTTGATGTCCATTTTTATAAATTCAAGGATAATATATAGAAGCATACTTGGAGGAGCAAGGCAAGTATTTCCATCAGGATGTACTGAATTTTGAAAATTACTATCAAGGGCTTAACTAGAACATGATGGGAGACTGACTACATTTGGAGAGCTGATTTATGAAAGTGATTTTACAATTCAATTCATGAGTTCTATGACGGTTTTTCTTTTCTGCTAGACTTATTACACCATCATTTAGAAACAAGATAAGCTTTAGAAAATCACATTTTAAATTGAATACATGACTAGACAAGAAGTATATTACAGAACTGATTTTACAATATAACTGAAAATTTTGAAAAAACCACTCACTCCTAAATCTTTTGTGATCAGTTTTGTACACACTTAGGATAAATACATGTTCATTTTGAATAATATGTTGTTTTCTTTGATTTTATGAGTGAAGAGAAGCAAATTTGCTTGATTTCTCATTGAAATTAGGTACATTTCAAATATCACTGTTTTAGATACAAAAACAAGCAGCTGTTCATAAATGACGTCCCCACTAGAGGTGAGAGGAGTTATGACAAGTCGGACAAAGTCAGATAAGGGGGTAGAGGGGTGATCTTCAGTGGCCATCTGGTTTATTTCATTAAATTTTATACAGTTTATGCATTTTATTATTTTTATTTCAAAATTTCTAGTATGTTTTGTTTCCACTTATGCTATCTGTTATTTGTAAAGTGATAAAGGTTTTAAGAGGGATCAAGTTTTGTTGGACATCTGAATAGGGAAGGGAGTTATGGAAACTTGGACAAACTGAGACAAGAGGACGAAATTTTTACTCCGTCCTCTTGTCTCAGTTTGTCCATATACAGTAAGAATCTCAGTAAGAAACATGCGGATATAACTTATGAACAGCCCCCAAAGTTTGAGGGGAATAATAGCCATTTTTAATACTTTTTAGACACAAGCAATTAGGAAATAACACTTCCCAGGAACAAAAGAAAAAAAGAAAAGAAAAAAAATTTGTCACATATTACATACTATTTTACTTTTGTTAGATTTATTTATTCTAACATTGTCTAGAGTTGACCATAAATCCTATAAGCTCGCTTAAAAAATCCAACTAGGTCTATGTTTTTTCCTCATTCATAATATTTTTTATGTCATAAGTCACTTCATAATGCCGCTGATATAAGGGTCTATAAGAAATATCTCTATTAAAGCACAAGTTTAGTTGGTATTATTAAATATTAATTGGCGAGACTATGTCTCGTCTCTAAAATCACACTGTTGTCAATGGCTGCATATCTCAGAGGTATGAAGGAGTACATGTCAGGAGTTGCAATTTGGCACAGAGTATTTGGTGCCCATATTGTGTGCACATAAAATAAACCAGACTTATAATAGTCAGGGGACTGAGAACCAGGTCAAAATAAAGTACAAAATGCTGAGACTTTTTCTACGATCAGGTGCGAAAATGAGGTTTGCACATGCGTTGCTCGCGATCTCTGAGATATAGTCTTGTCCCAAGAATGGCTTTGCCACTTTACTTGTTTTTTGTTATATTTAGAAAGGTCTTGCTAACATAACTCATAACATGCCTGTGCTGTTTGCAGGAGTTCTGGATTCAAATCTTGTTCCTGATTGATATTTTCTAAATAAATAAATAATTTCAAAGTATTAGTATAATATAATTATCTTTAGATATTTACAATAGAATAAGAACATTTAAATGTTAAATATTCCAATTTATTGTATGGTTTATTATTTGTATTAAATGCTTTTACAAAAAGCCCTGTAAATGCCTAAAGATAAATTTTAATGTTGAAATTATTTATAAAGAATATATGATTTGTATTAACAAATTTATATTATTCTTCTTGGTTTAAAAACTATTAATACTAAAAGGCAGTTTTAGAATACACACCAGTTAATAGTTTGATATATGCTGTTGTTTTTTAGTATTTACATAATGTATCGATATTATTTATTTTTAGAGAAAATTTCAGTTATAATTTAATCATCAGTAGGCAGTCTGTAAAGAATGAAATAATTAAATTTAATCCAGTTTGTATTTTTAACTTTCATTAATTTTATGAATATGCATATTTTTTTCTGATCAGTAGAAACTTCTTTAATAGGAATTACAAACAATGCATTTCAGATAAAGTAGCTTGTGTATTGCTGTATCAGCACTGATCTTGTAGTATGTGAATACTTTGATATTCAAATATTTTAAAAAATTCTTTTGACATTTAAATTTGTTGAGGAATTGCAAGAAATAGTACATCCTATTAAATGATTCAAAATAAGTGTATATAAGAATAAATAGCAATATATATTCAGTTTGCTGAAAACAATGTTAAGCCTGCAAAAATAGAAAAAAGGAAATTCTATTGATTAAAAAAATGTTTTTTTAATAGCTTATTCATTTTCATAATATGAATTTTATATTTTGTTAAGAGTTAAGAAAATTGTCTAATTTGCAAATATTTTTATTTTATATTGCCTGCATCATGTGAAGGTATTATATAAATTTCATTAAGGTTTAATGCATTTTAAATGCTTCTAATTGAAGTGAAACAATTTTAAAAATAGAAGAAAAATTAGCTTTTAATGAATATGTTATCAAATAAAGTTTTAAATAACTTATTTAAATACTTTTATTTAATGTTTTATTTCCTATGTTTAACTAAATCATTAAATATGATTTTTATTTTAGTGTTTTTCTTCTGGAGCTGAAATTGGAAGTCATAAAAATAGACATAACTATCAGTTAATTGTAAGTATATATTATTTATATAATATATTTTAATTTGACAAGAAAGGATTCAAAATAAATTCTGTAAAGTTTTTTTTATATGTTAATTAAAAATAGTCATTATATTTTATTAATAAATTTGTATATAAAAGATGTATAACCAGGAATACTTAAATAATTCAGATTTGAAATAACTTTTTCTTCTCTAGCTGCACTAGGTAAATTTTTAATATGATTTCATTTTTGGTATTCAATAAAATTTTGGAAGATTAAGTGAATTTTTACTTTCTATCTATTGGACATATACGAGTGAGTATCAATTCAGAAATTCTAGAACAACAAACATATAAAAACAATTTATTTTTGTATGTTTGTTGCTTTAATTTGATGCTAAAGACACAATCAAATCATATTAAAAGTCTACCTAGTGCAACAAGAAGGAAATAAGATTTTTTTTTTATATTTCAAACCTTTTGAATTATTTAAATGCTCTTGTATATCTTATATATATAAATTTACTTATTAAGTACAATGATTTTATTTTCAGATTACAATAGATTAATTCATAGTATCAATGTGGAATATTATATTCATTATTTACTTATACAGTACCATATTCAAATATCTCAATATTTAAAAATATATACAGTAGAACCTCGATTATCCGGACTGTTCAAAATAAACAAAAATTTTACGAATTTGCTGATTTGCACTTGGCAAATTATGACACTGTTTATGTACATGATGAAATGCATAACATTTTTTGTTTCAATAACGTCTTACCCAGCACAGTGGTCGTAAACTCTTAAATATATTTTATGTCGTAATAAAAATATAACTTGACATATGTATTTATAAATAATTTATATTCAAATTATATCATTTCTATGACGAAGGGCGGTGTAAGGCATGGACGACATGGGCCACTATGCCTCGCAGTCCGAAAGGCCTCGTGCCTCGAAGGTTTATGCATTACTTAAAAGCCGCGAACGTGACGAAAAAATTTTACTTGTCATAAAACGATAAATCGTTTGTGAAATTTTTATTCATAAAAATGCAGTTTCAACTGCTCTTTATTTTATAAAATTCATCTTCTTGCACCACCAGAGGGCCTTTTAAACAATAGGTAGTCTGTTAGCGCTGGTCAGTAGTAGTCCAAATTCAATACAAACATTTGTTTCTTGAAAATTTGATCACAATTTAAATACAGTATTTATTTTTAATATTACCGATATGTCATCGAAAAGAAAGCATGTTGTATTATCATTAACCTGTCCTACATTGATCCCGAAAATTTTCGGGTTGACCTCATTGACCTGCATGGGCGATCCTGAATATTTCCGTGGTTACATTGGAACGTTTTTGATGTTGCTTTGCGTCACAAGTTTTATATTAAAATGAACTTTTAAAATAAAATTTTTTTCGTTTTTATATTATTCAATATATATATTTTGCTTGTGAAACAAAAAAATAATTTTTTATGATACGGTAAACATGATTATTATTTTAAAAAAAAATTTTAGGTTTAACATCGATGAAAATTCAACATGGCGTCACAGGCAACAAATAAAAATTTCAACATCGAGTAGGTTAAAAGACAAATTAAAGTATTTGTTTCGATTATCCGAATTTTTTCATATCCGGACTACCTTCATCCCCAATTAGTCCGGATAATCGAGGTTATACTGTATATATTTTTACAATTATTATTGGTCAATAATGAGTGAACACACATTTAAATATTAATTTTTATTTTCTGTTTTAATTTACTTTGTCTATACACCTAGACAAGTTATTGAACAAACAGATTTTCATTGAGTACATATTCAAATAACCATCAATAACTTAATATAGGAGGATAATTCAGGTTAAATTTAGGTTTCTCTAATTGTTATTTTTACTGAACTCTGATCAACTAAAACTAATTTATATCAATTGTTTTTCAAATAACATTCATATTAATTTATCCATTTCCATTGCTTCACAAAACTACAAACTAAATATTCTTTATCATATATAGTGCATAGTTATTAAATAGAAAATTAAGGGTAAAGTTGTTTTAACAAATATTAGTACTAAGAAATTTTTGTAAACCAATCAGTTTATTTGAAAGAAACTATGAAAATATACTTTAATAATTTACCACAGTTAATATTGTTTAAATTTTATCATTAAAAAATGACTGAATAGATAGAAATTACTAAATATCCTTTCTTTTTTAATACTGTAATATAATTAGATGATCAAATGCATTATTTAAAAGTGGAATCTAAATGTGATCTTCATTTTGGGTGAAAGTCAATTATGTTAAAATTAGAAATTAATAAAATTAAAATTAAAAATATCTACATCAGAAATTATTTGTTCTACAACTGAAACATGATTTATAATTGCAAATGTATATCCTTCCAGTTTTTACTGTATAAAGTCTTTCAAATATCTTCCTGTTGGATATTTTGTATTAAAACAAAAAAATATTTGAATTAAATGAGACATCTAATTTAGTTTTAAGGATATCAAGATTCTGTTTTCATTCACAACAGTTTGAAATGTAGAATAACATTAATTTCAAATGAGAACTTTGAAATTTATTTTAATAAAAAAATTTTTGAAGATAAAATTTATAACTCCATTCATATGATTTTGTTTTTATTACATTTAATTTTTTCAATATCATGAGTATATATCAACTTTGATTTTGATTAACCATTCAGCCATCTGGCTGTTGTAACATACCATATCAGCAAAAGGATATCAATGCAAGATGGTAATGGCATGGTGTTGTATTTGACATGGCACCATAGTGCTTGTATATCTTAATTATCTGTATTCATATGGAATATAAGAGAAAATGAAGATTATTGACTTATCAAAGAGTGGGAAGTATTCTTGGGAAAACAGGTTTGACTTAAAATACAACCATTTTAAATTAATGAGACTGTATTACATGGAAAAACCCTATGTACTATGCCAAGACTTATAGACAGCTTTGAGTTAATACAGTTCAACTTAGTAAGGATTTATTGTATTATTTTTCACATTAAACTGTTATTAGTTAAATAAAATAGTTTTGATTATTATATGGACTCACCTATATAATTTATAATTATATAAGGGAATTTATCTTTCTTTAAAAGGACTAATCATGTTATTGTAACCATGTTATAAAATATTCAATTTCTAATAAATTATGAAGACTAAAAGTGTAATACTTGTTTTATTAAAGTTTATATTTTCTTTATGATTCAGAATTTTTGAAAATTAAAGTTGAATATGCAATCAAACTCTAAAGTATAATCTATAATAAATGAAATTGATTATAATGAAAACTGAAATGTTCTTATTAACTACATGTACTCAAAACCAAGATAATAATTTTCTAAACTAGCAAATACATTTTGAAATAAAATTCTGATATAATTACTTGCTGAAAAAATATCCAAATGTAAATGTCTTATAAATTTTTATCAAAGTTTATAATTTTGATTTGGTTAAATCTTAAGTTAAATCACTGTGTATGGTAAAGTTTTAATTAGTAATATCTTTAACATATTACTATATTATTAATAATAAATTCAAATAAAGTGAAGTAGATCTATTTAAAGTGTTATTTATCATTTCAATTATTCAGTAGTATTATTAATACTTAAATTATTAAGTTTCTGATTTTCAATTTTTATTACAAATTAAATGATATTAAAAAAATGATGTACACATATCTGCTTTAGTTTTTATTCAATGAAAAATTTATATTTACATATCAGTGTTGTTAAACATTATTTTTTTGAGTAATGAAATGAATAAATGTCCAGACTGATAAGCATTATTTCGGATTATTGTATTGAAATATATATAATTACTTATTGATCATGTACGCTTGAAATGCATTTGCCAAATAAATATTACACTTTATCTTTAGATGATGATTCTTATTTATGTAAACATTTTTTTGTTATTCATACATATGTACTGTACATATTGTGATATCTTTATAACATTTTTTATTACAAAAATATTTTAACTTAGTGTTGTTTACACTATGTTTATTATTATTTGAAATGGATGGAAATTATGATATACAATAAATATGATAAATATTATATCATACTTTTTAATGTCAATAGAACAATAGAAATATTTAATTTGAAATAGCTCTTTATAAAATTTGAATTTCTAATCGTTCCTATTGTTTAGATATCTGTATCAAGGCTGTGTCTATTAAAAATTACTCTTGCTTTTGAACTGTGAAGTGATTTTGCAATTGTATTGCTCTATTATTTTAAAACAAAAATGGAACAATAAATTTCATAATCACTATTTTAGATTGAAAAAATATATTTTTATTTTGCACTTTATATTTTTAATACCATATAAAAGAATGTATATATGTTATAAATGTAATATTCAATTGTTTGTTTTCCTCCTTTTCAAATATTTCCTGATGATTTTGTATCTGGTAAGAATGTTATAAAAAAAAAATTATCTTCAGTAAATATGATGATGATGATAAATCATTATTATGATGCATTATATTCATAATAATTTTTCCAATCAGTGAAAATGGTAAGTTTGTGAAATCATTTAATAGCATTCTAGTTTACAATTTTAACCACAGAAAATTTATTCAATTTATTTTACCTGAAAATCATAAAACACCCACATTTTTATGTAATTATGCAAAATTGCACTGGTGAAACAACAATTATCCAAAAAATTTTTTTTTACTAATTAATTTAGAATAATTTAATAAAATGAAAAAGAGACTAAAAATGTCTTCACTTTTTCGTCACCAGAAACAACTAGTTGTTCCTAGTGACAAAAAAGTGAAGGCATTTTTAGTCTCTTTTACGTTTTATTAAATTGTAAACTACTTTTGTAAAAAGTAATTTAGAACAAGTTTACACATCCAACTGTAGAGAGAATTTTGATAAAGCTATATTTTTTTTTAATAAAATATTTCTAGTTAAAATAATTCAAAATAAATTTTATAGTCTTTTTCAACAAAAGTAAAGTATTACTAT